GATGTTCAAAGGGAGGGTCCCCTCTATACATCATGATGTTACTGATGTTATGTGAATAAGTGGGTTGCACTGATCACATAACAGGCTTGAATAGGAAACCCCAGTTGCCCAGAAATTCTGGAAGTGACCATGAACTGGCCAGAAGGCAAAGATTTCGGAGTATCGCCAGAGGAGGAGGTGACATGTGCTGAAGAGGTCCCGCTGTATAATAAACTTCCAGAAGATGAGAAACCATATGCCCTGTTCACTGATGGGTCCTGCTGCATTGTGAGAAAGCATCTGAGGTGGAAGGCCGCTGTGTGTAGTCCTACATGACAAGTCACAGATGCTGCTGAAGAAGGTGGCAAATCGAGCCAGTTTGCAGAGGTGAAAGCCATCCAGGTGGCTTCAGATATTGCTGAATGAGAAAAGTGGCCGATGCTCTACCTCTGTACTGACTCATGGATGGTGGCCAATGCCCTGAAGGGGTGGTCACAGCAATGGCAGCAGAGCAACTGGCAGTGCAGAGGCAAACCCATCTGGGCTGCTCCATTGTGGCAAGATATTGCTGCCTGGCTAGAGAAGCTGGTTGTAAAAGTATGTCATGTAGGTGCCCATATACCCAAGAGAACTGAGAACACTTGTCATTGAAGAGTGGACTTGACCATGGATACTATTGCACAGGTCATCCATCAATGTGAAACACGCACTGCGATCAAACAAGCCAAGTGGCTAAAGCCTCTGTGGCATGGAGGACAATGGCTGAAATATAAATACAGGGAGGCCTGGCAGATTGATTGTGTCACTCTCTCACAAACTTGCCAAGGCAAGTGCTATGTCCTTACAATGGTGGAAGCAATCACTGGATGGCTGGAAACATATCCTGTGACCCATGTCATCACCCACAACACCATCTTAGACCTTGAAAAACAAGTCCTGTGGTGACATGGCACCTCGGCAAGAACTGAGTCAGACAATGGGACTCCTTTCCAAAACAATGTCATAGACACCTGGGTCAAAGAGCATGGCATTGAGAGGGTGTATCACATCCTTTGTCATGCACCAGCCTCTGGGAAAATCGAATGATACAATGGGCTGCTAAAGACTATGCTGAGAGCAATGGGTGGTGGGACATTCAAACATTGGGATGCACCAAGGCAAAGGCCACCTAGTTAGTCAACACTGGGGGATCTGCCAATGAAGCTGGCCCTGCCCAGTCAAAACTTTTCCATACTGTAGAAGGGGATAAAGTCCCCGTAGTGCACATAAAGTGTACATTAGGGAAGACAGTCTATGTTGCTCCTGTCTCAGGCAAAGGCAAACCTATTCATGGGGTTGCTTTTGCTCAAGGACCTGGATGCACGTGGTGAGTGATGTGGAAGGATGGGGAATTCCAATGTGGACCTCAAAGGGATTTGATTTTGGGTGAGAATAGCCAGTGGTTTAAATTGTATGGTGTTAATTGCTACATAATACTGTTTGTCATCACTACTATGATTGTGATATGCCATAACAGTGCTATTACAGTAACAGTGACCCAAGTTAATGAAGGATGAACTTTAATGAAACCGAACAAAGTGCAGCAATGATGGAACTAGAACTGACCAGCTACCAGCACCCAGCAACTTCCTCAAAATCGACACCTTCAACCCACAGACCATGGACATGGGCTGTGCCAGATACACCAGCCATGAGCTCCAGATGCAGTATGCAACAATCCAGCACCATGCACCATCTCTCCTGCCCTGAAAGACTGTTATGACAGATGGAGCCTGAAGTCATATACACAGTAAAGGAATGCAGCAGACATTTTAAAAACATTTTACTGGGTCCATAGACTAAGGGAATGATATCTGTGTATTATATCAAAGGATGGGAAGGGGGGTGGTTGTTAATGATGTTGTATTGGATAGTGTGGTACCTGATAAGGACATGAGTGGGATGGAATAAGGGGTGGAGAATGTGCTGGTTTTGGCTGGGATAAAGCTAATTTTCTTCATAGTAGCTGGTACAGAGCTGTGTTTTGGATTTGTGCTGAAAACAGTGTTGATAACCCAGGGACGTTTTCATTACTGCTGAGCAGTGCTTACACAGAGCCAAGGCCTTTTCTGCTTCTCACCCCACCCTACCAGCGAGGAGGCTGGGGGTGCACAAGGAGTTGGGAGGGGACACAGCCGGGACAGCTGACCCCAACTGACCAAAGGGATATTCCATACCATATGACGTTGTACTCTGAATATAACTGGGGAAGCTAGCCAGGAGGCAGGATCGCAGCTCAGGAATTAGCTGAGCATCGGCTTCAGTCAGTCAGAAATTGTGCTGTGCATCACTTGTTTTGTATATTATTATTGTTATTATTTTTTTCTTCTTCTTCCTTTTTCTTCTTTCTCCTCTCCTCCTTCTCCTCTCTTCTTTCTCCTCTCTTCTCCCCCATCCCACTGGCAGGGAGGAGTTAGTGAATAGCTGTGTAAAACCTTGACATTTATAGACAAAACACTGGTACATTCAGCTTCTTAAACATACCATTGGAATAACATTAATAAGCACATTAAGCTTTTATTCTGCTTTGGTTAAATTAGGAAACAAAGTGCTTTGAATGTTTACATGGGGTATGTTCTCACTTCAGGGCCAAAGTGGACCTTCAGGAGGAAAGGCAGTACCACCGAGGCCTGCTAAAGCTGTATCTAAAAAACGGGTAAGATCCACAAATCCACAAGTCTTAAAAAATGTTGTTTTTTTTTTTCTCTATCTATGAGATGCAAACTTGATTCAGTTTGAACAATGGCTTGTTTTATGGAATTGGTAACATTCCAATTGATTAAGCAGTAAGGAGTTGCTCTAGATTTCCACTGAGAAGGCAATTACACTAGCAAGTTAGAATAAAAATGGCAGCTAAAACAAAGACAATTTAGGTGTAATGCAATATGAAAAGATTAAAATAAAATGTTTGGGATGTAAATTCCAAAATATAAGCTGACATAGACTGTGAGGAAACTGCCTGCTTGGTTTAGAAAATTCAAAACATAGCCCATATTCACTTCATTAACATAGAAATAGAAATACAAACATTAGAGAAAATAGTGTTAACTTTTTGACTGTAGGCCTCATGATAATGTTTTTACTATCAGGCACATAAATGTTTAGAGTGTCATTCCTCTATAATCTACCTTTCTCTTATTTAGCTCCATTGGCACGGATGGAAGAAGGACAGTTGTACATTAAACAGGCATGGGGACAAACAGCTTTTCACTTTCTTAGGACAAATAGCAGTCTTGTTAAATGTCCTCTTTTGACCCTTTGAAAATAAGAAGTTATTTGCTTTTAAATGAAAAACATAAATAAAAAATGTTAAACCCACAAGACTTTTTATCTGATTCACTAGGGAAAACAGCCACTGAGCTAAGTGCATCAAATTCTGTATGATAAATGTCCTACAAGCAGGTGTTCATGTGGGGAGTGTTAAATCATAAACAACTGTTCTGCCATCACAGTCTCTCGTGTATCAGAGTGCCTGACCTTCCTTACAGCTTGCCTTATTTCAGCTCCCTTGGGGGCAAAAAAAAGGCTGCAGCCTGTGACTTTCCCTAAGTGCCTGGCATATGCAGAATTCTCTATTACGTTCAGCCACTGCATGTTTTTTACAGAGCATTATGCTTTTTACCTTTGTGGAGTTCTGCAGCTAGCAAAGCTTTGCTGGGGCCAGTCTCTGTACCTGCCAAAAGCCTTCACTTATGCCCTAGACTCGTGGGCATCTCCGTATGGCTATAAAGTTTAGCAGACCTGAGAAAACTGTATTTTAAAGAATGATTGACTTATTTTAAATCAACCATTACACATTTCAAACTGAGGGAGAAATTTTGCCTGGAGCAGTTAAACACTTTATTCAGCAACTTTGTGTTCAGGCAGTTTATCTGTAATGACAATTAACTGAAATTCATCCCTGCAGTGATTAATTTCCTGTTAATGACATCGTATCTTGACATCATCCTAAGACCAGCCCAAAGAGAGCAGCTCTCTGTGTTGGGAGAATGCAGACCTCCTGGCCTTTGCAAGAAAATGGTTAACATTCCTCAAGGAGCTGCATCCTGCAGCTTTGTGTCTTGAACTTATTTCTAAGTGTAGTTTATAGAACAGCACATTAGAAGTAGTTGCAGTTCCTTGACTTGTGCCCTTGAGTAGGCCTAGAATATGGCTCATTTTGGTATTATATGGCCAAAGAAACAAGATTGCCAACTTTTAAACTGAAATTGAGTGGAGTTACTTGAGTTTTGTTATTGGAGTTACTCCAGTTTTGTTGTAGGCCAGGAAGTATCTTCAGACAGCAGCTCACTGAACTCTCGTTGGCAGGTGTAGCCATTCAACAATATTCAGATTTGGGCTTGCCATTTGGGGTTATCTGCTCTGCTCAAAGCACAGATGGATGAGGGAATGTTGTTTTGTCCTTCTTGTTTCATGCCTGGAGAGGTGCTGCTTTGGGAGGGAGAAAAACAATCACAGTCTTGGTGCAGTAATAGTATTGTCATTCCTGTGGCAGGATGAAGATGTCTCCACTGAAGCAGGAGAGGGGGTAGATGAATGGGTGGCAGCAAAGACTCTAGTCAAACCCCCAGATCAACTGGAGCTGACTGAAGCTGTGAGTAAAACAGTGCCTGTAGTTGTCATGACGTGTACAAAACTCCATAAGCCAAAGCCTATCTTTTACATGTTTGTTTTAGAGGAAATTCTGCTGGAGTAAAACTCCAGTACTTGCGAAAGCATAGTGTCTGCAGTATAAACTTAAATGGTTTTCAGCAGGAAAACAGGGAGAATGTGCTCTGAAATGCAGTTCTGGGTTTAAGACAATGTAACTTCTTGGAGTTGATCCAAGAGGGGAATGGGACTGGGGCTTCCTTCAGATAAGGAGGACCCCAGATCCAACCCTGAGCTTCCCAGGTGCCTGTGTGTGGTACACAGGACAGGGAGGTGTCCTACAGTTTTATGACCATTTCTTCTCAGCTTGCTTCAGTAGGATTTCAGTCTGTCACCTTCCAACTGCAGGTGCTCTCTCTTCTCACTGTTGTGTAAAACTCTAGCATTGCTCCCTGTCTTCCAGATAGCTTTCAGAGGGAAGCTATACATACTTCCCTCTACTTGGGTAGTGAAAACAGTTAACACTAGTACTGCTTTTTGTTTGCAGTGGTCGATACCTCAAGCACTGCTACTGAGCTTGTTGTTTACTCTCTTTTTGGACAGTGTATGCTTCAAGACACAGGTTGTCTTTCTTGCCCTATAGAATGCAGCTAGCATTTTTCAAGTGCTACCATAGCTTAGATAAGAATTAACATGACAGCTAAAGAATTCCAGAAAGCCCATGGAAATACTATGGTAGGGAGCGGGATGACTGCTCTGGATTCCACTCTGAGCTATCTCGGCTCCAAGCATTTTTCTTGTGGAGGCATTAGCTGCACGTGAGGTATCTGCAGTAAACCGAACATTATAGAACTGAGTGTAAACCTGGTGGGTTTTGTATGCTCTGTGTTGTATTAATAGTGGAGTTTTATTTATGATATTATTTTGTTTCCATTCCAAAGGAATTAAAAGAGGAATTTACACGCATCCTGACAGCTAATAATCCCCATGCTCCCCAGAATATTATCAGATACAGCTTTAAAGTAAGTGTGGCATGACCTGTAAAACCGGGATGAGATTTCTTGCAAGTAACTGTTTTTGTGTTTTCCTTTGATTTCTAACCAGGTAAATTTCCTTTTAACGTGGCTTCATCTTGTTACATATTTACTGCCAAAGGTTCCTAAGGGTTTTTGCAGAGGGTAAAAGTCGAAAAGCATTGATGTATTTATTCAGAAATAGGATATAACAATTACTCAGCAAGATCTGGCACCAAGCACAATTAGTGCAGCTAATCTCAGGCGGGAACTTTTTCTATTCTGTGGTGGTTAGAGGACAAAAGGCAATGCTTTACTTAGTCTGTAAGACAGTTATGCCTCAATATCCTCACATCAAGATTTAGTTGTTTGAATTATAGGAGAGCTCAGAAATGTGCTTTGTGAAATCACTGACAAGAGCTCTATTCCCAGTGAGTAGGAGTGAGCAGTGGAGGGTGCATCAGAGACTGCCAGGAAACACCCAAGAGTCGTACCTTCACATTTGTGTGTGCAGAGCATATGCTGCATTACCCTGGAGCAGCCTCCTCCTGCTAACATGTACAGCTAGCAACACAGGCTGCTGTAGAGGGAGCATGGAATGATGGCTTTGCCTCCCATTCCTCCCTTGGATGCCCCCTGAAAGAAAGGACACAGGGACAGCTCCTCCAGCTCTGGCATTGGATTATCCCCAACCTTAGGAAGGGAATAACCAACCAGGTGAAATATTACGGAGCATGACTCATCTCTGTGCTGCTGTAACTAGTTTGACCAACCATTACATGAGATCACCAGAGAAAGGAAATCAGTCTTGTGTAGCAAATAAGGTCACTTTCTTTTCTATTTGGACTTGATGTTTTCCATATTTATGGGATAGAAACAGGTGATGAATGATCCATATCTTCGAATCATCCACAGTGACTGAAGTGACCTCAATGCTGTGCTGTGATTGCTACAGAAAGCAGTCATATTTTTAAGAAGAAACTATTGAAGCTTCTGGTTCACAGTGGCTTCTGATTGCTTTTAGGTGCAGCTCAAAATCTTAATACACAGTTTGAGCCTAGGTGCGTGCCTGAACTATACAGTGGTCCACACGCAAATGCCAGTCAAGCTACCATCAAATAGCTGAACTAGTACAGTGCTTAAAACCTGGGCATGATGCTACAAGCCTGTACTGTCTCTAGATCAGAACTGCTCTCTATGTATGGTGCTGCTCTTGTGTAGGTACAAAAACTCAGTCAGGGATCTCAGCACAACAGGACATGAGAATCTCTTAGGGAGTGCTGTGTAGTAGAGGTCCCTAGAACTGTGTTTAGACTCAGTTGCTGTGGTAGTGGTGGAGAGCTAGAGGTTTCATGTTCTTGCTTCTTTTTGTTCTATTTTTAATTTATGGCTCTCAGTGTCCTGAGATATGAATACCTGCTGGAAGAAATTCAGAGTAAATATGCCAATAACAAACATATATTTATTGGTATGGATCCTCTTAGCTTTAACAATTTAGGCTACACAGTATTTCTGGTTTAAAATATTTTTTTCCATGCTGATTTTGTTGTTTTTTTCCTCTTATGTAGGAACGAGCATACAAGCCAATAAGCTATGTGGATCAAATGGCCATTCACTTCTCTTTGAATGGAAACATGATACTCAAAGATTCAGATGAAGGCAGACGGCAGAGTATCAAATTAAGCACTGCAGCAAGTAGGTTTATTATCTGAAACCACAATCATTTTCAGCTAGGCACTGGTACCACTTATTCAACATGAGGGAATGATCATGCTTCATCACTATAGAATTGAACAGCTCCTATTTTGGCTTGCATCCTACTCAGGAAACAAAAACAGAAAAAACAACCAGCCAGATATTTGCTACAGTGTAGAAAATGGTGCATGGTTTTCGAGCAATGTGAACACTAACACTGAAAATTTCAGAGCTATTTAGTGTCTTTTAAACATCTTCCATTACTATTAGTGGGGCATACATGTCTAAACTCCTTAGCCTGCTTTGAAAGTTTCAGCCATGATTTAAAGTGTTAAAGCAGAAACATTTGGGGGCTGGGTGATTGTTCAGGAAAATATCATATACTTGACCAATTCTTACGCTCTTACCAGGACATCTACTTCTGGACAATGTGACATACAAGATATTGAGCTAGCTGGACCTTTGATCTGAGCTACTATTGCCATTCTTAGGTCTTCAGTCAGAAAGACACCTTAATCAGAGGCCAAAAAGCTCTATTGTTAGTAAACAGTTCTAGGTTTGAATTTT